CGGAGACTTCAATCAAAGTTTCAGGCGCCCGGTATGACCTCGCTGGCCATCCTAGAATTTAGTCGTGGTCCCCAACCCGACACATGAAGTACAACGACGTGCAAGTGTCTGTCCTCGTCGAGGATCACGTGTCTGATGAATACGCCGTAGCTAACGAGAGCGAGAACACCATCACATGTTGGATAGCAAGCGAGGAGGGGCAAGGTGAGGCCTCCCCAGCTGATTCTTGCTTTGCTTCGCGCTGCTCAATCTCCGGTCGAGCCAGGAATTCAAAATCAAGATCAGCAATTCTTCATCTTCTACAGCCCTATCCTCTTGGGTACAAATCGATGTACGCCTCATGGTTAGCTCAGTCTCGCGACCAAAGACGTCCTCCCTAGTGCACGGCGCATCCATATCGTCGACTGTCAGCAACTAACAATCCAACTGGACTGAGCTACGACAATGCTGAGGAGACAGACGAGAGGAATGTGGGTGAGGAAAGACCAGCTCGAGTCTGGCTTGTTATTGAGCAGTACGAGCTCCTTATATACATGTCAGACTGAATACCTAGAATATCCTACGAATATACGGAGGTGTATAGAAAGTAAAAGAATACCATGGAATCTGGGAGAACCATCCGGAATATGTAATATTCATGACATTACCCCCCCCCCCCGTCTAGAATCGTGTCCTCACGATTATTTACCCGTCGATCCAAAACCTCCCGATCCTCGTTGAGTCTCTGTTAAACTGGACACCTCCTCGATATCGCATGACGCAATGCGTTCCAAAATGACTTGTGCGATTCGATTGCCGGCACGTACCTGGAAGGGTTGATTTGTGGAATTGATCAACACTACGCGTACTTCTCCGGTATAATCTCGGTCGACGACTCCAGCCCCAATATCTATCTCTTTGACCGCTAACCCACTTCGTGGCGCAATTCGTGCGTAAGTTCCATGAGGGGCACGCATTGCTATGCCGGTGCCGACAATCTTGCGATCTCGTGCCGGTACTTTGACGCTTTCCGCCGAGTAAAGATCAAACCCAGCGGATTCTTCGGATCCTTGCTTCGGGAGAATTCCACCCATCCGTTGTACCAAAAGAGTGGTATCACGGGTAAGTATGTGAATGGGTCGTGTTAACAAAGGGGGAATTCGAATTGTCATGGGCGCGGGTTTGTCGGGCCGTCTTGCATGGAATTCCTGTAGGAGTTCTTGACAATTGGTCAAGTTCGCCCGTGATTCCCAGGAACGGCGATCACCATGGGGGCTATTCTTCCAGAGAACCTGATACTCAAGATTGCCATTTCGATCACGGCAAGAGTCAAGGATATCTTCGACTTCCCATTCTTCCTCGCCATTTACGAGGTCAGGGACTACCGGTTCACGCCGCTGAGAGACATACGTGGGTTCTTGGAAGGGACTGAGAAGGCTTTCATTGAAAACGGGGTGTTGTTTCCATTGACGTGGGAGTTCCAATTCATAGGCAGAAGCGCCGACTTTGCGTTTGACCTTGAAGGGTCCATATCACTTATCGTCGAGCTTCTTCATTGGCCTGTCGGTTCAGATGTTTATCCCTTCTAGCCAAACCTTATTTCCAACTTTGTACTCCGGTCCGCTCTTCCTCTTTCGGTCGTAGAAACGCTTCATAGATTCCTGCGCTAGACTGATAGCCGCGCTAGTATCTTCGCGTACTCGATCTATTCTATCGACAAATTGTTGGACATTTTCGCTTAGTCCTTCTCGCACCGGTTGGGTTCCTTCGTAAGGGTGATACCCTTTATTGACAAAGAACAGGGTATATCCGGTGGATGAGTGAACTTTATTGTTATACGAAAAGGCTGCGAGTGGTAACCATTCAGCCCAATCTGCCTGTCGGTAGTTGATGAATAATCAGAGATACTGTTCTATCTCGCGATTGATGCGTTCCGTTTGCCCGTCTGTCTGGGGGTGATACGCGGTCGAGGGGTTCGCTTCGATTCCGAGGGATCGGTACAACTCCGAGATGAACTGATTCTTGAATTCAGTTCCCCTATCACTGATGATCTTTCGAGGTAATCCATGATGTGCGACTACGTTATCTCGGAGTGCTTTTGCCCACCCTTCGGCATTGAGTTCAATAGTACTTGGTATTGCGATTATCTGCTTAGAGTACATGCAGACAATTACGAGAATTGCATTGTACCTGAAGGAATCCGATAATACGCCTATCTTGTCCACGGAGATTACTTCCCAGGGTCGTGAAGGAATTTCGTTTGGAAATAGAAGTCCAGTAGGTCGTGTCGTATGGACCTTGGTCTTCTGGCATTTCTCACATCCAGCCACGTACTTCCTGACATCTTCTCGAATTCGGGGCCACCAGTAGTTGCGCGTGACCATTTCATGCGTCTTGTATTGACCAGGATGTCCAGCCAATGGGGTATCATGATAGTGAGCAATGATCTGCTCACGGAGTTTTCTATTTACCGGTACATAGATACGGTTCTTCCGCGTTATAAGTCCGATACTATCTTCATTCCAGTCTTTGTCCTTGTTCTGTAAGGCTACGGTAACTAGCGAATCTCGGTTCTTTTTGTATTTCTTAATTTCTGTGACCTAGTCCTGGTCAATTCCTTCCAAACTAAATACGGTACTACGGATCAGGGCACGGAAATGTTCTGGTTTTAGTAATACAATATCTGAATTGTCTTCTTTTCCTGCATTGTGCCTCTTTTGGCGAGATAGTCCGTCTGCTTTGCCATTGGATTTGCCGGGCTTGTGATGCAGCGAGTATTGGTATTCCGCTAACTCGGTTACCCATCGGGCCTGTCGCCGGTTAAGCTTCTGCAGCTTCCAGAAGTATTCTAGGTTCTTGTGATCCGTCCATATTTCGAATGGATGTACGGCGCCCATAAGGTACTGGCGCCACTCATCAAGACTAGTCATGATTGCGAGAAGTTCCTTGTCGTAAATCTCGTAATTTCTTTCAGCAGCTGTCATGGCTTTAGATAGGTAAGCAACAGGCTTCCATTTCCCATCTTGTTTCTGGGCTAATTCTGCTCCTATGGCAAAGTCCGAGGCGTCACATTCTACTCGATATGGGTCGTCGTCATTGGATATAGCTAACACTGGCGCTGTGCAGAGAGCGTTTTTCAGGTTTGTGAAGGCTACCTCTTGTTCGACGGTCCATTCAAAAGTAGCGTTGCCTGTTAGTGAACTGAGCGGCTTTGCTATTTTGCCATAGTCTCAGATGAACCTTCGATAGAAGTTGGTGAATCCAAGGAATGCTTGAATGTCTCGTTTGCACTCGGGCCATGGCCAATTGACGACTCCTTCTATCTTGACCGGATCCATGCGAACAACTCCTTTTCCTACTATCATCCCGAGATATTCTATCTCTGCCTTCTCGAACTCGCACTTTTCCGGTTTCAGATAAAGTTTGTGTTCCCTTAAGATCTGAAGAACTTGCCGCGTGATCCGGCGGTGTTCTTTCAAGTCTTGAGTGAAGATCATGATGTCGTCTAGATAGACTACCACATGTCCTTGACTGATGAGATCTCGGAATATGTCGTTCATCATGGTTTGGAATGTAGCCAGGGAATTGGTAAGGCCAAAGAACATGACAAGGGGCTCGAATAATCCTCGATTCATTAGGAACGCCGCCTTCTCTTCGTCTCCTTCTTTGATGCGGATGTTGTTGTATCTCCATTGGATGTCTAATTTTGTAAAGTACCGTGCCTGCTTTAGCTTGTCCACTAGTTTCTGTATCAAAGGAAGTGGATAGCGGTTCTTGATCGTAAGCTCATTCAGCTTCCGATAGTCTTGTACAGGCCGAAGTGGTCCGTCTTTTTTCTTGACAAAGAAGAATGGAGAAGCCCACGGGGATTTCAATGGTCGGATTCTCCCGGTTCGGAGGTTCTCTTCTATGAATTCATCAAGTTCTTTTTGTTCATTCACGGAGATAGGGTAAACTTTGCAGCTGATCGGTTGTGCGCCTGGTGTAAGTTCAATTGCATGGTCCCACGGTCGTCTTTGAGGTAAAGAATCAAAGTCTTCTTTGCTAAATACGTCAGAGTAGTCGTGATAGTGACTCGGGACGGTATTTTCAAAGGTCTTGGCTTCGTGTTTTAGACTTTCTTTGATCGCTAGATCAGTGGCTGTGGTACGAATGCGTGCTGCTCCTGTCGCGAAGTACGTTTCATGGTCTAAAATGAATATTCTATCCTCTTCTTCTAGGCGAGCCTCCGGATTGCTGGGCTCTTCATGATCGGCATCAATATCAATTAATCGGGTGGCGTATTTGCACGTAATTGGACACCGATCAAACTGAATGATTTGTTCCTGCCAATCAATGGACGGGTTATGAATCTGTAACCACTCATATCCAAGGAAGATTGGAGTCTTTTCTAGATTGGTAACTGCGAAAGGAAGTCGCTCTACATGGTCCTGAATTTCCACCCTTAACTCAACGAAGTCTGTGATAGCGCCACCGGCATTATGCGTGCCATCTGCATTATAGACAGGGACCAGTGATGGCAGTTTCTTTGTAGCGATGTTGTTATCGCGGACAAACTGCGCATCAATCGAAGATCCAGTACATCCTGTGTCTAATAGCGCTTTGACTGATAAGCGCTGCTGCGTGTCCAGGGTGGTTATGATCATTGGGACATCCATCTGTGTCCCCTTCCTTCCTCGGATGAATTGGGGCTGCTTTCTCAATTCATTTAAGAAGTCTATAGCTTCTTCTTCTTTCATCTGCCTGATTTGGTTCATACAGGCTTCAGAGGCATTGACACTCTTCTTTGAGTGTACCCATTCAGTCAGCAATCTAAGCGCCGAGGCTTCTTTGCTGATTATCCATTGGCGGATCCAAGCCGCTGTCCAAGGTGTGTGGCGCTGCCATTGCGTAGATTCGGTCTGATGTTCTGGTGTAGGCAATAATTTTTTATTTGGGGGAATTAAGCAAGAGGGTTGTGCCTCTCTGCGCCGCTCTGCGGACGCCCCTTTTTCTGGTATATACATAGGTACACCAAACCAGGAACACAGATAGTTCGTGAAATTCTTTTCGGTCAACTCGGCTACGCACCCGGCTGACCGCTTGCAAAATCCTTCATGGCCGCACAAATTTCTTCGTGAATTGCCTTCTTCCAGTCGAACAGTTCTGCCGTCGCGGCAGGAGCTTCGTTAAGTGATGCGAGTGGTGCGAACGTATTGGTGGTGGGAACTGCCGGGGTCTCCGCGGCTCGTACTTGTTGAGCTTGTTGCCGATTAGGGCAATTTCGTGATATGTGGCCTTGTTGACCACATCGAAAGCAAAGACCCTGACGTCGCACTTGATCCAAATCCATCGGTTGTCCCCTTCCTCCGAATGTGACACCCGTTCCGTCGCGCCGTGTCTGAACTGGTGCTGTAGCAGTCGCTGGTGCAGACGCATTAGTTTGTGCTCGTGGCGTGTTCTGCATCTGCTGCTGCCTTGGTTGAAACTGTCCCTGTCGTTGAGACTGTGGGTTTCTTCGGCGGTACTGTTGCTGGTTGAGGTCGATACGCGCGACTCGCAATTTGTACAGTGCATAGGTGGTCGGGAGCTCCTCCGAGGAGTTGTACAAAAGCCGAATGATGTCGGCCCGGAGTGCTTTTTCTAGGAGTGACTTGAGTTCCTGGAAGTGCGCTTCGAAATCGTGAATGTTTGCCTGGGAAGCACATAACTCAAATTTCGAGAAGAACTCCTGTGCCGACAACGTTCCCATCTGCATTGCCTGGAGCCGATCGTATGCTTTGGCTTGCTCATCGATTAAGAAGTGCCTGTCCAGGTCTTCCCACAGTGTCTTTGTGGTCTGTATTACGGAATCTTCGTCCGCGTTGTATTTCTTCATAAACGTGGCGACATATTCGCCCGCGTGTCCACCTTTCATGTAAGACAGAATCATAAGGACTCTGTCAAACTGCTCTGGTAGCCACTTCCTCTGCGTAACTACATAGAGTTTCATTTGGGTTTTCCAAGCAATGTACTTGGATTTCGTACCGTCGAAGGCGTCTGGCTTCATCACGCTTCCATTGAAGAGCGCGGCACTATCTTGGTTTTCGGCCATCGCGCCGGGATCGGATGGGGATGAAGGTGGAGTGGGAGAGCGTCGGGAAGGTGGGTTCGAAGCTTTGGAATCTTCTACTGCTTCTTCCACGGGGTCTGGTGGGCCCTCTGGTGGTGCTTCGGATTCTCCGAGGGCGATTGAACGGAGATGATCAGTGACTGATTCGAGAGTATCTCGTCTGGTTCTGGGTTCTGAACCGGATGCTATGGGTTGTGGTACCGCGATAGATTCTGAGGGTGCCCCTGTGGTAACTCTTGATAGTGGCTCTCCGCGTAGTCCTTCTCTACACCGAGGACAACGATTGCTATTATCCGGAAAATGCGGGCAGGGTTGTTGCGCGCAGTACCGTAAGTTGTCACCGCGTAGGTAGACGGATCTCCCTTCTAGCTCTCGATGTGTATGTCCTCTACAATAGCAGGACGGCGTGATCATAGGGTGTCGGGTCCGTGGAGCCGGTTGCAGCAAACCCTGGGACTAATCGTGTCGTAACGACCAGATCAGGGGTAGAGTTCGCCAAAGATAGGAATTTCCAAAAAAGAGCTGAAACGCTATCTTAATACAGTTTTAGGAATAGTATAGCAGCCCAAAGAGCGATTATGTCTCTTCGGTCCGACGCCCTGACAGGGATCATCGATCTAACTGCTATCTCTTTTCCGATGCCCAGCCTCAGCCGGTTGCCACGTCGTACTCAGGAATATCCACTTGCACTGCGCAAAGCGTTTAACACCACCTATGGTAGGGCAGTGTACGATTCTAATTGGACGGAGCTCTGTCCAGCCGCCTAAGGGCTGGTGATTACAGAGGTGGCTTCGGGGTGTGTGATATGGTAAAATGCGCAAGTGCACGGAGAAGGGTTCCAGGGGTCTTGATGCGGTAGAGTTGGTAGGGTTAGGATTTAGGGTGAGAGTCGAACGTGTAGATTGGGTGGATCGTCGTGTGGAGCTGGGTGATGGTTGGTGTGGGAGTGACAAGGATCGTCGTAGGGCAGTTGGTGGAGACTCGAGCTAATGTCAGCAACTAACAATCCAACTGGACTGAGCTACGACAATGCTGAGGAGACAGATGAGAGGAATGTGAGTGAGGAAAGACCAGCTCGAGTCTGGCTTGTTATTGAGCAGTACAAGCTCCTTATATACATGTCAGACTGAATACCTAGAATATCCTACGAATATACGGAGGTGTATAAAAAATCAAAGAATACCATGGAATCTGGGAGAACCATCCGGAATATGTAATATTCATGACATCGACCTCTGTTCGGCCATTCGCCTTTACCCTGATCAATTTTTCTGACAGTGAGGAGAATAAACAAATGTACAACCTGTCTTTTCATGTGGCTATAGACGATGCTTTACTTCACCGAGACGCAAACAAGCTCGAAGCGATAGGTGCTATCCGCATAACGGCACGGCGCGTCATCGCGAAGGAAAACGTGCCTTACAATCCTGCACAGTACGACATCCGCGACATTGGCCTCGTACATGAGCGCCGGAAGAAAGCAGGGGTGCATTGTGTGTCGTATGTGTGCAGTACGGCCGCGGTCATCGTATATTAGGCGTGCTCAATTCTACATGGATGGGATGGGATGGGATGGTTTCGAGCCAGCACACGGTGGCTGTGGCTTTCCCGTTGATGGCGTAGATTAGCCGTGAGACATGAATCAGAAATAGATCTGTTCCTAACCCGCCATCCCGCCCTCGAGTCCCGCCTGCTTCCAAAACAAGTAAGTCTATTTGTACGAGACAAATAGAGGAC